TCATTTGTATTAATTTGTGTACTAAACGTGTTGTTCCTAGGTTCAACCCATCCTGGCAGGTTGTTGTTGATAAAAAGATCCCACATTTACACCAGTTTTCATCTACCTGAAGCACAGCCCTGCAGTATTTCACAATGCAGAGCTCCCAACAACACTCAGTGCTTCAGACCCTTCCTCATGCTTCATCCTTCTTTGCAAATTATTATTTTATGATACTGAAGAAGCCTCTAGGCTATTCTTCTTAATTCCTTCTGCTTCCTCTCTGAATGCCTTCAAATGTCCCTTTATTTCTAGCAATTATTTATAGACATCTGTCAGTCCTGGCTCCGTGGCTGGAACATGATGTATCCAGGCTATTATGCAGCACAGAAAGCAAGTTACTTTTTTTAAAATGCAATTCTCCAACAATTTTCCTAACCATTGCAGTTGAGATTTTACCCCACCGGGCTTGCAGCATATTGTTGGAAGTCACATAATGTCAAATGTGTTTAAAATAATTTCTGTTAAATGCCTGCAGCAAGTGGACTGAGATGGCTGCCAAGTTCACTTAACCATCCTCACTTTCCAACCTTTAAACAGGGAGATATCCAAATGTTTCTCCCTGCCTATGGAATCCATAAGATCACAGTCATCCTCATTAATGTGCAGAGGTGAGGCTGCAGCAGGACACAGATCCTAAACCCTTGAGTTGGCAGCTGGATAGACCAGAGATCTGTAGGAAATAAACTTGGCCATAACTTAGAAAATAAACCCAACAGAAATCAGCAGTACAGTTAATACAAAACCTGTTAGTCAGTTGAAAGATTGTCATAGGTGTCATTGAATCAGGCTCAGCTATTATTTCCCTGGTATATATATACTAACTGCAGTCTCATAGAGAAATTGAAGATGTTATAAATAAATAAAACAGGTTGCCCAGTGATGTGGTGGCTGCCCCAGCCCTGGCAGTGTTCAAGGCCAGGCTGGATGAGACCTTGAGCAACCTGTTCTGGTGGGAGGTGTCCATGCCCATGGCAGAGGGTTGGGACTAGATTATCTGTAAGGCCCATTCCAACTCTTAAATTCTATGATTCTAAAAAATGCAAACTATTTCCACAAGTCTTTCTATGTATTTATATTTACATTTATTTTAAATAAATGGCCTCCTAGTTTGCGGTTTGTCCAGGAAAAGACCTAACAGAAATCTGAGCACATCTATGGTCAGTTTAAGCACACATTTCAGTTGTACTTTTGTTATTATTTAACTCCAGATTATTTTCAGGACTATGCCAATTTTCCCAGAAAAGAGCTAATTAACTGTAACTAACTATATTATTAAATTTCTCCAGGAAAAATATATCAAGAAAGAAATATGTATCTGTATTACCTAGTATTCACACATTTTTGTCATTAATTATAAGATGTCAAGCCCTAGCATGAAATTCAGATGAATAGTTATTCATGTAATGCAGATACAAGTTTATATTCTCAGCACTTATGCTCAAGTATTTGCCTCTCTAGGAAAGTGATGACACATAAATTGTAGGTGTCCAAATAACCAGTGGTGTTTGCTGTGAGTTCAAAAATCAAACAGAAAAAATTGTGAATGGCCTTAGTAAAACAGAAAATGTATTAAAGCACCACCAAACTCCATCCTCACTGGGACTGTGTGCGAAAGATTCTTCCATTATTCATAGACAGATAAAATAAATACAAAAATTACACACTGTTTCCATGTTTTCTTTAGTTTTCTTCTGCTTATACCTATCTCCAATGGCAGAGAAAGGAGGGTCCTTGAAAAGGATTTGACACAACATTAGAGGAGACCACAAAGTTTCTAAGAGGACTGGAGCATCTCCCCTATGAGAACAGGTGGGGAAGTTGGGGCTGTTCAGCCTGGAGAAGGGAAGACTGTGTGGAGACCTCAGAGCAACTTTTCAATATCTGAAGGGCCTACAAGGGAGCTGGAGAGGGACTCTGTGTTAGGAACTGCAGTGATAGGACAAGGGGTAATGGGTTCAGACTGAAGGAAGGAAAGTCTAGGTTGGCTGTGAAAAAAAGTTTTTTCCTGTGAGGGTGGTGAGACACTGGCACAGGTTGCCCAGGGAGGCTGTGGCTGCTCCAAGCCTGGCAGTGTTCAAAGCCAGGTTGGCTAAAGCCTTGAGCAACCTGCTCTGGTGGGAGGTGTCCCTGGCCAGGGCAGGGGGTTGGGACTGGATGATCTGTAAGGTCCATTCCAACCCCTAAAATTCTATGATTCTATGATTTCATTGTGATTTCTGTGTTGTTCCAAAATTAAGGAATTAAACCATCAAATCATTAAAGAAAAAAAGTCACTTTGCAAAATAATAAAAAGCTGAAACACACGGGATCCCTATAATGAATAATTTAAGGCAAGTTAATAATATCATAATAATATCATCTGAATGTCTTAAAAAGGCCTTAGAATCCTTCAGGCAAGTTTCACAGTCCAGTATATCTCCATCCTTCTGTATATAATTGTGCATCTCCCATCACTGAATCATTGGAATCCATGGAAATTTACACTTTGATCCAGTGACCATCAAGACAAATCCGAGATACCTAACTGAGCATTTTGTATTTTTAGCAAAAACAATTTCAGTGAATGGGTTTGATTCAGAGCTCGAATGAAGATGAAGTTGGCTGTGATAGGAAACACAGTTCTGCACACAATATGCAATGCAAAGCCTTTCTTTTGCAGCTTCAAAGAAGAAATACAACAGCACAATTGTAATCCAAAAGGAAGGAATCAGGACTCTTCCATGCAAACACAGGCACAGCAAGATGTCTATCAAGCTATGCAATGCAACTATTGATTGGGAGCAGCAAGACAGCAGAACCTGATGAATAATTTGCAGATATATGCCATAAAATTTGGAGAACTATGGAAAACAGATGTAAACAACATGAAATCTTGGCTAACTGGATGCCACTTGCATAGGAAACTGGATGCCACCTGCATAGGGAGCTATGTCAATTCCAGCCAATGCTGATTCTACATGTTCACTTGAGCACAAAATAATTCTGCAGGTATTGGTGTCCTTGACACCAGGAAAATGAGGTTATGAAGTTTAGTGTGATGAATACCTTGAGGAAAGGGGGAGAGGAGAAGGAAAAGAAAGTTGAGAAAAATTATTCAAACTTCAACAGTTTCAAGCAGGAAAGACCAACAAAATACTAAATGCTGCATGGATTTATTTGGGTAAAGACCAAAGGGCAGCAGAGAAAATAGATGAAAGCAATTAGAGAATCCAGTGGAATTTTGACTGAGAAACACATCTGCTGGCTCAGAAGCATAAACTTCAATATGAGGAATGGAAAAAAAGGACAATCAAAGATAGTTTATAAGTGAACAAAAATAGAGAACTGCAAGTTAAAGAAAAATAAATCCATGCCAGAGATAAGAATCTTGATTAGAGTTTGAGTAAAGAAAGAACATATAGTAGGCAACAGTTAAATACTGTCCCACATTATTATTATGTCCCTGGAATTAGCAGTCAAGGCTTAGCATTAGACTAAATATTGTGTGGTTACATGTGGTACATAGGAGGTAAATTTCTGCTTTGATGGAGAGAGACAAAGCTACTGAAAGACTGGCAGGAACTCCCAGCTCACACCCAGAGCTCATATTCCACCAGCAGGATTAAAGCTTAAACACTGCAGAGTTTGAGCTGTTTGGCACCAGTTTCTTTTACTGAAATACTGGATTTAGGGGCTCTGAATCTACTAAACTGCTCAGTGGTCTAGGAATGTGTGTTTAAATGGGCATGACAAGAAGATGTTGTAGTTTAGCTGAAAATGTAATAAAGTTGGTCCCTGGATCTGATTAGATAGTCACACTCTGTACAGCTATTGACTGATTGTGCAAAGGAATCTCTGACAACTCTTCTTAGTTGATTACAAAACACAGGGAGAATGGGAAGTGGGAGAGTCTTAGGAAGTTTCTTTTGAATTCTGAATGAGCAATCAATCACTGAAATAAATTAGGAATGTACTAGAGACTATAACAAAAATTAGTACTCTCAAATATGAAACACATTTCTTGTTTGAATTAAAAGATCACTAATAGGTTCATCACAAGATTGTCTCATTTAAGGTAAATAAACATTTACCCTAACATTTTTAATCTGATGAAAGAGCAGCTCACAGTGCATTTCATACCTACAGCTGTTCAACCATGGGCAACTCTATGTGGAAATGCAAAATTCACCAGAAAGGTTACATGATTTCTAAAAACTGCATAAATAATAAAAGAAGGACAAAGAATAACTTCTAGTCCTATCAATATATAATGCAAGGAAGTGAAAGGTACTTGTTCAGAGTAAACAAAGCACATGTCACCACACTAAGCTTCAATGAATATTAAATATTCATACCAATGTAATATACTTGATTCCAGCTTTCATTTCAAAATATTTCTCACAGTTTCATCACTCGATTCAATTCTCAAAGTGTATTTTTATCTTGTTTTAGTTGTTGTATCTGCATCTACAACATCTGTTTGTCAACACAGCTCAGTATTTCTATCTGCCCTACAATATTAGTTTATTCATAATGGGCTTTCTATTTATTTCTACTATTTACTAGACTCATGCTGTATAAACAAATAGAAATGCCCCTTCCAGCAGCTAACCTTACAGAAAACAAAGGGAGAATTCCCACTCTGAACAGAAATCATATGTGTTATTTGGTCTGAAACTTAATAATATCCTAAGGGTCTTTGTTGATTCCAGATATGAATAAAAAAGTGTAAACCTAAAGCAAAGATTTCATTGCCAATGATATTTTACCTTTTCTTCTTTACTGCAGAGACTTGACTGTTTTTCAAAAACCATTACCTGCTGTCCTAAAGGTGTGCTGCTCCCACTTCTTGACGTGGGGAAAGGATTCAGTGAGCCACAAAATGAGTAAAAAGTGTTGTACAGTATGATAATAATGCATTAACCAAACCAGAATTTGTTCAGGCCTCATTTAAAGAGATATGATAGGCATGGACTTACCTGTGGCAGATCCCTCCATGACATGACCAATATAGGGTCCTTCTTTGAACATTGGCCTGTTGTCATTTTGATCAATAACAGAAATATCCAGGCGGACTGGGCCATCAAGGGTTTTCCCACTCGTATCTGTGACCTCAACTTCAAGCTGTATGAACAAAAGGAGAGGAGCAAATTCATTAGTTGACCATCAGAGTGAGCAGAGAGTAAGAAAAAAATGCTCAGATGAATGCTGCTGTAGTCAAACACTGCCAAGGACACCATTTGTAGCCAGTTCTTCTGGACTAGGCTCAGAGCAGATTTCTGACCTAAGCAAAATGGAAAGATGATGTACATTCACATCAAGATACCTCTTGGCAGCTTAAAAATTCCATACTGTCGGAAGAAAGAAAAGACCAGAGTATAGGAAAAAAAGAATTACACAAATCATGTGAAAATTTGGTTAGAATTTGTTTCTTTACCTTTTTCAAGCACATTTATCGTGAACAGATATCAAACTCATGGTATAATTGACATATCTCTTAATGCTCACTCAAAAGCCTTTATAAAGCAAACAAACAAACAGCAAACAAAACAAAACACAGAAAAGCAAGAATGCATTAGGCATAATAAATACATTTTCTCAATGATGATGGCACTAAGCAGTGCTGGTCAAATTTTACAGTTCTCCAGCTTTTCTATCAAGGTATGGAAGGACAGAAGAACATATGCAGCCCCATACTAGTAGGTATACAGACATGCACACAAAGCCCAGTGTATGAAAACACCTGTCAAATACAAAGCTGACAGATGCAGCTGAGGATTTGTTTGGACTTCCTTTACTTCCAGAAACTATAAAGATCCTACTGTATATCTCAACCCTCCAAACCAAGTGCAATGGAAAGTCACAGTGAGTCACCAAAGCTTTATCAGTCATTAGGGTAAACCATACCAAACTTCTTAGACAACAGAAAAGCTAAATTTATATTACAAGTGTGTGCTATACCTGCAGTTCTCTCCTCTCGCCAAGAAATCAATAAAATACAGCAATAAACATGTCAGAGACACCACTATCATTCTCACCTGCCCTCCCCATCCCCACACTCAACTCTTTAATGGAGTTAAGCCAGCCAGAAAATGAACCTGAGCTCAGACGTTAATATCACTCTCTTCCAGTCTTTCCCTGAGAAAGTGGCAGCAGCAGGGGTGGAAGTCTCTGAGCACTTTGTTTATTCTGTTAATTTATTCTTCATTGTCATGTCTTATACCTGTAAGTTATTTATAACTTAGTGATAAATCCTACCAGGAAAGAATTAGGTCAGAATTCTAATTCCTTATTAAAATGGATGGCTTATTATCACCTCTCTCTGCGTTTTCTTATGCTTATAAATACATTTGACTTTTTTAATTCAATGTGTTGGGTGTGAGTAGGAGTGTTTGTTACGAGTAAACTACCTACTCACATACACTGTTTGTAAATAGTGTCACAGTCCATTTTAACATCACTGCTTATCCTCACTTCTCTAGTATTTGTTCTTGCAAACCTTTCCCCAGTTTTATTTTTTCACTA